TTTCATCGCACAAGTTACATGAGCAATTACTGTACCATCCTTTGTATCATCACTGTCATGTATCAGTGACATGACATGTCATGTACCAAGTAATTTGGACCGTTTCCTTTGATGCATTATAATGAAGTGTGATATAAAGGGCAACTTTTTAGATGATTTTTAGCTGATAGATTATTTATGAATACTCGTTGGTATTTACAAACTAGTACCTGAGTACTCATATTTCAAATCAGCCTTAGAACAGTAATATTTATGTTTCATTATGATCTGTAATACAAATTTTAATCTCAGCACTGTTATAACCTGTAGGCAGCAATGATGTAGTAATGGCGTACACTGCAAATGAACTGAAATGTAAGGCAGATGATTCAACAAGCATGTCATACCTCCATGGTATACCACCCTCTTATTGCAGGTTTTGTACTGAGCATTTTTCTAATAATTTTTTGATCATTTAAAGTGCTCTCACACATTCCTCTGTGCTCTTTTAGCTTCAGTAGCCTTGTGGAGAGTGGTGTAGTTTGTCAGGCCCTGGGAAGAGGTGATGTGGATGCCTGGCATGAATTTATGATGCATTCAACTAAAGCAGCTATAATTTATAATGTTTTCCATACATTAACGATAACTGGATCTGGCTGCACCAGCTCTAAGCAAGTTCAAACACAGGCTAGTTGTAACATCAAGTGTTTACTAAGTTCACATTTATGCATTACTAAATCAAAGTGGGTTACACCACAGACTAGATATTATGCTGAGCTTAGTAGTTACTAAATATTTACACCTCCCTCTAAGCAGGTTTAAGTTTTGGAAAAACTAGCAGTAACATCATAGAAATCACAAAGAAGACCAAAAACATGACCCGATGACCTGACCAGTTTTTGGTGAACTCAGCTAAAACATGCTATGTGCTGATTTTACTTACAGCTCTATTGATGACCCTGGTTTTAACTCCAGACGTGAAGCTAAAATGAAGTTTGGTTCAGTGAGACTCAGCAGCTGCCACTGTTGTCGGTTGGCCTGAAAATCTCCATATTTGATTGTCAAGGAAATTTTAAAGAATAAACAGAAAATAGCTACTGGCATTCATTGTAGCACATTTATAGATTATCATTGTAGCACAGGTTATCATGTTAGAGTGACATACATATTAGTTAGTAGTTACTAGTTAAGACATAACTTTCAGAGTTGTGGCGCCACCAAATGAGTATAATGATACTATGAAACTAACTAGTGTTAACTAAGGGCTTATTAAAGACTTTACACATTAACATAAACACAGTCTAAAGTCCTGATCTTTTTAAGGCCTTTGCTGCTGTTTTGTAGTCAAAGCAACAGTTTTTGTAGCTTTACAAAAAAAAAGAGCTTCCGAATACTAAATAGAAAAATGAATACCAGCATAACAAATGAATACTCAAGTGTTCAAATTATTTAGGCCAGCCTTATTTTAAAAAAATATATTTTCAAGCAGTGGTTATCAAAGCAGTCTTTCTTTTTAAAGCAGTTTCAAACAAGGTCCCCCACACAGTTCACATTTTAGCTCTATCTTAGCTCCCAAGGCATTAAGAACAATGAATACCTGGTACAGGTGTGTTAGAACTGGAACTGGGTTAGAGCAAAAATGTGCAGTGGCTGGGGGGCTAATTTGAGAACCACTGTTTTAAAGCATTTTTTTCATACTAACTGAAGTGCTCTCTTCCATGATAAGTTGACCTCATGTAGTCACTGAATGATTTGTTGAGGCCTAATGTGATGCAGTCCGTATGCCCTCTCAGACACCGTGTCTAAGTGCAGCTGAGGTGGCCCAGGTAGACTGTTTTGGGAGTGTATGCTGGGATAAGCAGTTTGAGATCGCTGACAATGTTGTCTGGGAGGAAATGTGTTGTTGCTCTGTCAGAGCTTTTTACCTTGACGCCCATCATACTAGAGGGGTTGATGAGGTCAGGTTCTAAAAGGGTGCGACACAGAAAATCAATAGTTGTTTCATAATGAAGATCTAATGTCACAGGAAATGGAAATGACACTTGATTTAAGCTACAAGACCTTGTCAAGTGTAGCCTTAGTCTGTCAACTAGACACACAGACCATCTTTTTAAAGAGTTGACTTTGTTTATTGTAAGCACAAGCACTCAAATAGAGCCTTTAGTTGAAACAGGTTTATTAGGCTTGTTGCTGATTCCTTTATTTTCTGTGTCTTGGTTATTCCTTGAATCTCTCACTGTGCTCAAAAGCTCAAAAGTGTTTGAATTAAAAATCTGTGTAATAATAATATTAATACCACCAACAGTAATAGAAATGTATTTTAAAGCAGTGGTTCTCAAAGCAGTCCTTTTAAAGCAGTTTCAAACAAGGTCCCCCATACAGTTCGCATTGAAAAATGAAAAAAACTCACAAAAACTGTTATTAATAAGCTTATAGAGACATACTATTAGTATGAATTGACAGGTAGTTCTGATTACTCAGTCAGTGGCCTTGTTGCATTTTATCACTATTTTTTTTTTTTTTTTAAATAAGTTTTATCCCACAGCTTTTGGAGGTGTGGTGCCACCCCTGTATCAGCTAACATTGGCTGGCATCCCGATGTGTGATAGAGGAGAGAGGGAGGGTCATCTTACCCACCCAGACAGGACGAGGCTACTTGTGCACTTTAGGACTCCTGGTTATGAATGACTGTGGCATCAGCAGGAATCAGACTTGCAACTTCTCTGTGAAATTATTATTATTATTTTGTATAGACTTTTTGTTAAAAAGTGTTAGGTGTTTAAACCTACAGGTTGTATGACTGAAATACTTCAGACACTGTAATTACAATGATATTTATTCATAAAGAGGTTAAAACAGTCCAGTTTTAGGTTTATAGCCGACAGTGGCTTTTCCTCTCTTTGCCCAAATGTTTTCCAGTGGTTTTGATTTCAGGCATTTAATAGCACAGAGCACAGTTCTCTCTGAAGTTGTCTGTGGGCTTGCTCTGTGCATGAAGACTGGAGTTAAACAGCCTGCTTATCTTCCAGCTCAAACCGACTTAAAGGCTGGGCTTTTGCTTTATAGCCGGCATTTTGGATTCATTCGGAGTGAGTAAAAGCCTGAGACTGAGCAGAGGACGAGGCTGATGAGCTGTTTTTCAGCTATAATGGCTTTTTCCTTGGGGAACATTAACCACAGACACACTTGCACACACATGCACGTTACAGAAAAGGGGAGAGAGTGAGGACGATAAATCTCGTTCGCTTTCTTTCCTCTCTCTGTTGCTCGGCACCTCGCTCTTGGTATCACTCCATTTCTCCCACAATGCGTACGATCAGGAGAAGAAGAGAGCATAAGCAAAGATCAGATGTAAGGAATAATCTAAGGGAATGTGCGTGTGGATAGAGAGCGGGAGTGTGCAGAATGTGTGTGTATGTGTAAGAGAACAAATGTGTGTGTAGGAGGGGTCTGGAGTGTTTTTCTCCACACTGCAGCACTCTGAGCTGCACTGTCCTGTTCAGCACTGTATCACCAGCCCAGCAAAAGCCCTTTATACACCTACACAGAGCATAATCCCCCAAAAGAGCTGCAGTAGCCCCTCACAGGAACATCATACACATTCAGCATGTACATCCACAAAGTTCCTGTAATACTGAAACTAGGCAGTTAACTGGACAGATTTTGAAATGTTAGACTTGATTATAATCAATTAGAATAACAATTTTATTTATTGATTTATTTATTTTTACCCAATTTTAGTCATTGCCAATTCCACCTCATATCTGGATCTCCCTCCATCACACAATGCTACCAGGTTAGGAAAGTGAAGGCTAGCATGTGCTTCCTCCAAGTCACATGAAGCGTCACAGCTTCTTTTCAAACTGCTGCTAATGCAAAGTCACTGGACAGCTCAACACGCTTGGAGGGGAATGCTAACTGACAATTACATCAGCTAACAGATGCCTGTTTTGGGCTGCATCGCACTAAGGTGAGGGGAGTGCCTTCCTACCCACACAGAGTGAGCAGGCCGATTATGTTCTTGGCTTCCGGATGGATGATCAAACTTGCAATCTCCTAACAACAGAGCTGATACTTTGGTGGTTGTGCTGCACTGAAGGCCCTATAATCCTGAATCATCCAAAAGTAGCAGCATAAAATCATGGCAAAATGTGGGTTGATGCACTGAATCCTAACTGAATCGAATCACTGTGAAGACACTTCTGCTTCTGTTTTTTGTATTTTTGTGGTCCACACAGGGTCCCACTGTGAATGGTCTCAGTTGGTGTCTCTCTATGAAGAACAAAGGTTTAGTAAAGCTTTAAATGAGATTAGACATTAGCATTGTGGTGTCTTACGGATACTGAAGCAGCACAAAAATCTCTCTTTTTGCCAGATAACTTGTGCCAAAAGTCAGCATAGTAGTCTAGGTCAGTCATACTGGATATTTTGTTGGTGCTGATGTTTGTCATGTTATTCAGCTAACTTATCATGAGCCCTGGCCTTCAGATAATTTGAAATTGTGAAAATAAGCTTGGCCAGGCTGACTCATGACAGCACTAAACTGACTCATGAGACTTCAAAGTAGGGCTGCACAATATATCCTTAATCACTGTCGCACTGTTGGCCTTCACAATGCAGATATCACAAAAGTGGACAATTTAGTTTTCATTTCGATCAGAAATAGTGCTGGGCAGTCTTTTATTACATCACATCAAGGGTTCACTAATGTGTTTTGAATATTTCAGAAGGTATATTGTAACTTCAATAAATAGCAACATAATTGGACCATGGTATTTTGTCCGTATCATGCAGCACTAACCAGAATATTAAACTACTGCCTTTATTCTCCCTCTAAGCACAGACTTTTTCATTGTTGTTTTTTTAATATCGCAATATTTTTTCGCAAAAACATAAAATATCACAGTGTGACTTTTCCCCAGTATCATTCAGCCCTACTTTAAGCTCAGGGAAGCTAAAGAAAGGACTGTATCTTCAGTTGCTTTAACAGAAAGCTGAGGCCTTTTATTTGTGTGTTTCAGGAGCAGCTGGTGAAGACGAAGTTGTCTCCTAATCCTTCAGCTGTGTTCCAGAGCAGGTCACGCATCTTCAACATATGACCCATCAAGACTGGCCAGTATGGAGGCGGCCAGAACAGAAAGCAGACTGGACATAGGATTTCACTTCAACCCAGCACACGGCTTACCAAGTTTCTAGGAAATGTCTCAAAAGTTACAGCACAGAAACTACTAAGAGACTGAAGCTCTGCAGTGCCACTGAAAGGCTTAGGGATTGTTTGAGGATTAAAGATTTAACAAAACAAATATGGATTGCTGGACTGGACACTGGGCCACTGTCTCCCCAAACCGTTTCATAAATGTGTGCAAAAACAACTGAGGAGGGTTAACTCTACTTAGTGTGAAATCTATGCAAGTAAATGAATGTTTCCAAACTTGATGTCTGTTGCAGGCAATGTCTGTAATATTTTGATGGATATGAGGCAGCGCTGTACTGTGGAGGTAAAAAGGAATGAACACGTACTGATCTGAACTCAAATATGCATGTTTCTCAATAGTTTAAATAAGCTTTTTAATCCATAGTGTCAAACACTTGACAGAGAAAATGGCTGCTTTTTAGCGTGCTGTGCGTGTGTGAGCGTGTGGATGTGCACCCTCTGGGCTGGAATGATCTGTGTTTTGAGTTTTGTATCTGTAAGTTTAGGTTCACTCCTTTTGAAGAGCCAGTTTTCTTTTGCTCCGAGGAAGCCTGATGCTCCACTGTATGCTTCTCCTTTCAAGCCCCTGCTAAACCTTTATTAAATGAAGAATTACTTCTTGATATTTATTATTTATTACATTTTTATTGAATTAGGAAAGGCAGAGTATTTCACCATTGGTAATAATTTATTTTGTAAATTTGTTCTTGATAGACATTAAAAGATGGAGGATGTAATATGTTGAAATAAATATAATAGGTTCCTAAAATTGTTCCTTGTGTTGTATATCTTCGAGAGTAATGATTAGTGTTTATAATTTAGGAATGCACCAATTTTCTTCCCATACTGACAGTGGATCTTCAATTATCTGCTTATACAGAGCACCGATACAGATATTAACTGTATCTAACCTCACTACTATACACTGTGCACTGTATATAATATACACTACTATACTATATACTGTAAAGTTACCATTTGGAGATGAGGATTGTTCTTTGGGTGGTGGATCTATGAACACAGACATGGAGTAGGTGAGATGCAGCAATGCTGCTGGAGTTTTTAAGCACCGTGTCCACTCACTGTCTACACTATTAGACACACACACCTTGTTGGTGTAAAGTCAGAGACAATAGCTCATCTGTTACTGCACAGTTTTTGTTGGTCGTTGTCTAGTCCTTCATCAGTGGTCACAGGATGCTGCCCACAGGACGCTGTTGTCTGGATATTTATGGTTGGTGGACTATCCTCAGTCTAGCAGTGACACTGAGGTGTTTAAAATCTCCAGCTACACAGCTGTATCTGATCCACTCGCACCAGCACAACACACAACACCACCACGTCAGTGTCACAACAGTGCTGAGATATTAACAAAACTGTAGCAAATGGAACAGCATTTATGACGCCAGGTGGACTAACTCAGCAGGGGGGACCACCACAGTCACTACACCGCCACAGTGGTTACAGTTAACAAATTGCAACCAAATCTGGTTTGTCTGATTAATTCTAAACAGGGTTGTTAAAAGTAAAAAAGAACAGAATGAAAACTCCAAAGCGAGCACAGACTTTTAGTGTCCAAAATGTGGCCAGGCACACTGGGCAGTACACAGAGTGGGGGCATAGGCGTGAAAGAGAGAGCGAGATTGTGTTCGGGGGCTATGAGTGTGTGTGTTTATGTGTGTGTTATGTAAGAACTCTGCTCTGCGGTTTAGACACTGATTTAATGAGAATGAAAGCGTCAGCTGTTACCTGATGAGCATTTCCCCTAATCTTTACTGCAGCAGGCAGCCATTTAGCACCAATGCCTGGAACACAGAACAAATGCTAAATGCTTAGGGATTTAATTGCGCAGAACTAATTTAAGTGTTGAGGAATACTTTAGTAATAACAGTACTCACCTCAGCTGCTCTACTCAGAATACTCAAAACTGGCTCTACTCTCAATTTTGGATTAGCACAGTCACTCCCTGCTCTTTTTTAGCCAGGAGAACTGATGTTTTTCCACTGTGGTCAGAGTTCAGCCTTGGAATTAGAGTTCAGTGTTGGGAGACTTCTACTGGACCCACAGCTGTTTGACTATCCTTTCTGACAAAGAGCTCCATCATAATTTGAAAAAACAGCTTAGAAATGTTTATAGGGATGCCCCGTATGAACCAATTCCAGTCCTGCAAATTCCTAGGAATTTTCAAAACTTAAATAATTTTGAAAATTCATAGGAATTTTAAAAAACTTGTGCAAGCAACAATCATGAATGCAGACGAGGGCATGAGAAAGCTCCATTCCTTCTCTGTCTGTAGCCTAGAAGCAGGGTTTGTAAACAGAAGAGTTCCCACAGTTACGGAAGACATCTGGAAAAGAACAATATTGTTAAACTGTCCTGGAAATGTGTAAAGTTGGGCCATTAAGCCATGGAGACTGCACATTTTAGCACATTCTGTGGTGTCCAATCTTACCCACAAAGGGCCCATGTGGCTGCTGGGGTACACCTGATTCCACTTGTTTAATCAGACGTCTCAGTCTTTAAAAACTGATCATGTGTGCTTCCGCTTTGCTGAAATGAAAAGCTGAAGTCATAACGTCCCTCTGTAGATAAGATTAGACACCCCTGCACTATTTACAGTGATGTTGTTGAAGTTTATGTTAAGGATGTCAGTTTAAGGTGACATTTTATAAGCAACAGCTTATATTAGTATCTTGTGTCAATCCTATTTGCCTGTAGAAGCATAACACATTTATAGGAAAAATCTTACATTTTTTTTTTTTTTTAATCAAACTACTGAAAAATAGGAGTAAAACCAAAAGCATTGCATGTATACTTTTGTAAGCCATGGAAATTGTCCTGGAAAAGTCCTGAAAAATAATTTTCTAAAAGCAGCAGGAACCCTGAAATGGTGAAAATAATCCTCCTTTACTCAGGCAATCTTTCTCCCATTAGTTTTCCTCCATTGCTCTAGTCGGAAGCGGAGGAATGTCGAGACAAACGAGTATAAAAATGTCCATGTCCTACAAAAAGCAGCTAGAGAAAAAAAGTACACACACTGTGCAACTCAGAATATTAAAGTTTAGACTTGTCTGTAGAACCAGTTGCTAGAAAAGTTTATTTTATTATTATTTATTTAAAAAAACAACACTGTACCAAAACTCCAAATTTCAGTGGCAAAACTACCGTTTTAATACAAGAATAGTCATCATTTTTAGGTACACTTTGAACAAAAGGAAAATACAATGGTCAGGTACAGCCTACAATACATTAAATTTGGTTAAACTGGTAATGACAGTTTGAGTTCGTGCAGAAAGCACGGGTACACACGCTCGTACACAGATACACAACTCGACTGGCAAGCAGCAAACTAACAGAGCTCACACACGAGAAGTTCTTTACATTCTCACATGCGCACTCAAAATAATTACATACATACCTTTACAGACATTCTAACACACATACGCACACTAAATGAACGTGTTGCTGGTTGCTTACCAGGCTGCCAACAGAATGCAGATAAGAATACAACATAATAAAACATACAATGTGATTTTATATGCCAGCCACAGCTGTTCAACAGGTAACTTTAAAAGGACAGCTCAGACCAAAACAGTGAAAGCTAGCCACTGTTAGCATGATTCCATTGATTCTATGTCTATGTAGCATTTACCATCCCTCTTTCTGCCAACTGTAGACACTAATTAATCTGCACACACTTCAACAGGGCCTTTCGGAGCCCAGATTCTTTTATTCAGAATGTACTCATTTATAGCCGTAGGGGGCCAAGCACTGCACAGGTGTGTTTTCCCTGCTCAAACCAGAGGTGTACCTAGGGGGGTGGGGGTTGGGGGGATTTCTGACTCCTCTGAAGAAAAAAAGCCCTCCGAGGCCAATAAAAAATGTTCTTATATTACAGGATGAACCCCAAGGCTTTGAGTGCCTTTATGTCCACTTCAAACAAATGAAAGTGATCGCCAAAGCTCTGCCTCCATTTTACACACAACAACGCTATCACCATGGCAACATTTACATGGCTCCATGCCTCCATCAGCTATGTAATGTCTGCTCATGTTCCTGTTGGGTAAGCAGTAAAGTTGACCATGGTAAAGAAAACAAGGTTGAATACTGTGGAGGAAAATTGCAGTCTTCAACCATTCGCCCCAGATATCTAGTCCTGATTCTGTAAAAGGCACAACTGTGGTTAATTAGCCCTTACTTGCTGTGGCTCTGCTGTCAGCTGTTATTGGATCTGATCAGTTAAATACAAGCGTAGCAATTTTAATTCTCTGGTTATGTTAGCTGAAGTTGATGGCTAGTTGGTGGTTGTTAACCACACTACAGCGATGTCTTCCTAGCTGTAAAAAAGTTGTAAAAGCTGTAACCACACGCCCCCATAATGAAATTCTAGCTACACCACCGGCTCAAACGCACCATCTCCGGTTCATATACATGCCTAGGTAAGTGAGGAGTGCAGAGAAAACACTAAACTGTGCAGTGCAGAGGTACGCTACACTGGACTACAGTGTGCGTCAAGCTTCTGCATTCATCAACAGATAAAATTACATGAATATTAAGACTTCAGTAGGTCTATATTAAACACTGGGCATCTTCATAGCAAAACAAACGCTCCAACAAACGTTATAAAACAAGGTTTTAACAACACTTGAATTTTCTCCTCTGTGAATTGTGTATGTTTCTTGCCGATATCACTTCACAAACTCACATCCTGTTACGTAAACGTGTCAGTCTGAAGATGGTCATCATGACTTTGTATACACAACAGATACACAAGTACACACAACAAGTGGCCTATCTATCTAAGCATTCTTTAGAAGCAACCTAATGAGAAATTGTGTACAACTCAGGTTTTGTCAAAATATGTGAATTTAGACTGCATTATTCATTTCAAATCATATTGATTCTGTATGTGTGAAAGACCACACTGGATAGACAATGTATTTTTTTTGTCATATAATCAAGCTCACGTTAACATGGTGGGAAATTCACTGTCATTTACACACTGCCAAGTTTCAATAAGCTACTACAACATTTGTAATGTTGTAATGTTAGGACATTCAGTAAAAGGACTGATAAGCCAGAATGGAAGCCATAGGAACCAGAGTAAATGAGGGACAACATTTTAGACACACCAATCAGCCACAGAGCAACACAGACTTTGAGTTTGAGGTTGGTACCGTCTGTGTTAATACCTGTTTTTAACAAGCCCTTATCCACTTTGCCTCATCAATTCCCCCTTTGAAGGGAATATTCTGTGCCACGTTAAGGTAATTACTTTATTGGCTGAAGCGAAAGGCGTTAGATGAGTCCTCAGAGAGGTGAAGAATTGAGTGAACAAAAGCGTCAACCTCAGCAGCAGAATACACACAGAAATCATTACGACCTGATGAGTTTAACCTCTC